GGGGTGCACAGGGTTGTAAGTTACAAAGAACAGGATCATTTCAGGACGATCCTTGTCATGCCATGCATCTCTGCAGAGACTTTACACTGAGGTAAGTTAATTTTACCTGGATGGGCCTGAATCCTCCCTGGGGTATTGAAAGCAGTAAAGAGAGAAAAGCCAGTGGGAGGACAAACTGGTGAGATTTAAAACATCCACACACACACGTATACAGGAAACAAAAAGCTTCCTTCCAAATAACACAGGAGACGGCATCAGAGCCGCTTTGATTTGCTTTCAACAGAAGATGATCCCACAATGACGATTACTGAGGTGGTGACTTCAGTTTGGTCGTGTCAACTTTAACTTTAAATAAAGTTACACTCACTGAATGTCAGAACAGTTTTTTGCACATTGCTACTAACTGCAAATCGTCAGGCAGGAACATTTATGGAAATGATATGGCTGAAAAACAAACTTGGTTTTGACATTCTGCTCTTTTAGGTTGGCTGTTAAGTTAATTCAGCTCAAACCTGCTCCGTTCAGCAGAGGAGCGTGAATAAACTGCAAACAAGGACAATCGAAACACTTGAAAAATGAATCACCTTTCCAGTATTTTCCTATCAACTGGTGCGTAGTTCTGAGCTCTCAGGGTAGCTGCTGTGTAGCCTTTCATAAAGGTAATAACATTTAAAAGTTATTGAGGGTGATTTGTTTTAAAGGGTGTTAGAGGGGAACCTTCACTGACATGAGTAATATTAAACCTCCGATAAACAAATAAACATGCTCATTCCGAAGTGCAGTGCAGTTTATGTCAGAGGTAATATTTTGTAAATCGAGCAGATCAAATCTGCAAAATGCAAAATTTGACGCTTTATTGTGTAATTTATTGGTGATTGATGCCAATTTCTTCCAGACTTACAATTTAACTTAGTAGATTTATTAAAGAAAAAGATTTGTTAAACTTAACCCTAAACTTTCTTTCTGTATTTGTGAGTTAAAGTTTACCCAACCTAACACAAGAACAGACAACAAAATGAGCTAGTTTTTGCCTTTGTAATAAAAAAATATGCTCTCATTAAGCTCTGCAAGTTCAAGTAAAAATGGTGACAAAATGTGAGAGTTTTACTTAAGTCTTACAAAAAAGTCCTACTCACAACTACATTTTAGATTATTAGAGAAAGTTATTAAAGAAAAGCAGAGAAAACAGTGGCTGGTTGTTTAAGTGGTAAATCTTTTCTGGCCTTAAACAAACCGCACTTCAAAACCAATGAAGTCGTCTTTAAGCCGATTCGTAACTGGGGACGAAATGATTACAGCCAAATCGATTTTCTCATCCTAACGCGTCTTCTTCTGTGCGCTGAGCTTATTCCAGCAGGACAATAGCAGTTTTCTTCATGAGCATAAAGGGCCACTGTTCAGCTTCATCTGCTTTCCGATTCTACTTCCGCGGTGACATGAGAAATCTCAGAGCCAGTTTGTGACAGCCAGAGCATGCGCTCCAGCGTGCGTATCCGTGCTATCGCTCGCCAACACACCCGCTACACTTTGACACAGTACTATTATTAGTCTGTTTAAAATGTGTCCACACAGAAGCATCCAGAAGGTGAGGATGTCAGACACCAGGTTACTCCAGGCTGATCTTGAGGAGCAGGGACTGAAGCAACATGTCAATCTCGTGGCGGGCAGCTGTGTGAATTGTCACGGTATGAATCAAACAGCGTGGAAGCTACATGAACTGAATGTCAAAACCAAGACATGTTAGACTCCAAGCATCCACGGGGTAACACATTAGCATTATCATAAATACTGACCTGACAAACATAAAGACATTAACATGCCCTTCAAACTCTTATGATGTTTGTTCTGAGTGTCAAATGTCTTAACCCACTCTGGTTCCTAATTTACACAAGTGTCAGCCAGGAACGCAGACACCGGGACACTGAGGCCAGTCAGCATGTAATCAATCTTAGCTGTTCTTCGAAATGTTCAACCTGAACACCAAACATTTCTTTTCACTCTGCAGAACAAGTTGTGATTGCCACTCGTTTTCTGTTTCTCGTGAGACACAATCAGCACCAACAATCAACGGAGAAACTCGGGCGAGATTTTTTTTAAACAGAAGACTTTTAAAATAAAAATTACAAGTGAAGTATGTGATCGATGTGATATCATAATTTACAAAGAAACAATGCAAAAACAACAAAAGAAAAAAACAGAAAATTCAATCTACAAAGTATCCTTTCTTAAAAGAAACATCTGCTAAGTTTTAAATCAAGTAGAATAGATATAAATATCAGTCTGAATAACTAAGCAGGGCCTAAGTATATTTATCCATGGCTGGCCTTAAATCATTTGCTGATACTTACAGAAGCTTTGGTTGAATATTGTCCCTAAAAGTGTCCATGAAGTAATAACATTGAGCAAAGCCAGACTTTATCTTTGCAGTTTCTGTGGCATAGCTAACAAATGATGAAACAAGCTCAGCTGTTCTTACTGCTTCATTCTTAAAACAAACTGTTGTGTAGACTGCAACAAAACAATACCAGAGGGGTGTCTGGAGACGAACGTATACTCCAAATATCTCCAAAATGTTCATTAAATGACCAATCAAGCAAATAATAAATACCTTACTGTGGATAGAGGTAACTAAGAGTACTGTATATTGATGCATTTAACTGATTTAAAAAGGGCCCAGAAGTACTTCCACATTCATCTACAAATATATAATGCTGTAAAAAATAAACCTTTAACTGAATTTCGAACAATAGTTTTCCATCTTTCAGAGCGCTGATTTGATGTCAGACATGAGAACCAACTCTTATCTGGTATCTAAAATGGATTTCTTGCTTGAATACCATTTTTTAATCAAGGCCGCAGAGGGCACAGAAAACCTGAGCTCAGCTCACAGAGCTGTTTTACACAACAATTAAATGAGAATCTAAGATTTCCATCCAAAAGTAAAAAGTAGATGCAGTACTGCTGAACTCTCGGAGTAACAAGAGACCAAAACGTAAGATGTTTTGCTTAATTACAGAAACGCAAAAAGTGCTGCAACTTCACTCAATACTACAAGCCCAATTAGCTCAAAAGCATGAAAATGTTTAAATTAAATTAAATGAACTACGGGATTTAATTTCCCTTTGGGATCAATAAAGTATTTTTGAAYTGAATTGAATTTAAATATCAAACACACTGTCTTAGATATCTGAAAAATCTGCAATTCAAGAACACCTCATGAAAATTTAAATAATTTCAACGACACTTGAAACCTTTTAAATCTGAGATTTTAACAGGTCTCTCTTGTAACGAGACAATGAGTCTCAAGAGATTTTCTTGTATAAATAAATAAATAAATAAATTAAGCAATAGTAAAACTCCCCACAAAAGCCTTTTTTTTCTGTAACAAGATCCAGTAAAAAGCTTTGATTTTGATGATGCAAAAGGAGGAGCAGGAGGGGCGTTCAGCGGGGGCAAATTACCTGATGGTGGGTCGGTCGCGGGCCCGTAGCAAACTGGTGGGGGAGGGAGGAGAGGTCCAGTGGGGAGATTGAAGCAGTGATGGCAAAGCGGGGAGGACAGAGAGCACAGGAGAGACACAGTTACGGCATAAAACAAGCGATGGAGGCAGACGCTTGAAAAAACACAAACGGCAACACAACAAAACTTTTACAGAAACGGCACATGATGCGGGACCAGTCTTCAGGCAGAACATGTAATTTAGACATTAATCCAGCTTTTTGTGCTAAAAGGATAATTCCTAAATTCTGAAAACATGTGAAACGTTCATGGTTTTAAATTCCTTTCTATTAAATTAAAATCTGTTTTAGTTTGGGAGGTAGGCAGATTGGCTTAACACACCTGATGGATTCTCAGCAAGAGTCGGTTGATTTATGAGTCATTTAAAGACATCACATCTTTTCCATTGGCCTTTCATAAAGAGATATTCTTAAAGGTTTTAGGAATTTGGCCAATCTGAAACACTTCAGCTCAAAATTAAACAAATAAATAATTAAAAATAGTCAAACTACAGTGAAAAGAGTGAAAAGAATTGTAACACTGATGTGGTTTCCTTTTCATCGTGCCGGTGAGGCACGTAACATTTAACATTCCTAGAGTTCTTCATTTCTATGTAACCACCACTGAGACGGCATGTGACCAAATCTGCCAAACGATGAATGACAAGAACTCTTCTTTCAGCAGGCAAATGCTCTTTATATTGAGCAAATTATCTTGTTTATTATTAGTTTATGATTAGTGTCTGCAAAATCAAGATCAGTTCTTCCCGGCCTTCTTGGTTTTGTTTATTTCGTCACCTTTCTGTTTTCAAAAAACAGTCACTAAAAGGAAGCACAGAAACTTGTAAAGTTCGCTGAAAATCTAGAAAATGGAGAGAAACTCACCGGGCGGCTCTGTGGCTGTGCATTCATTGGCTGTGTTTGGGCAGAATACACTAAAGGAGCGGAACCAGCGTTTTGCCCAGGGTTGTAGGGAGACTGTCAAAATAAAAAATAAAAAATAAAGCAGAGACATATAAAAGAGGAGTTTGTTGAAGTGACTGGAAAATGTACTGCAGTCAATAAAGAGATTTCACACTGTACAGGACACACATTTTAGAACAAAACACAACAGCGCTAACTTATGCTGAGTGCTGATGGGAGAAAGTGGGGTTTATGTACTCCAACGATAATTGGTACCCTCAAGCACCGCAAATCCCATGTTCCTTTATTCTTCATCTCGTGTGGCAGAGGAGGGTTTAAGCAGATTTTCCATGTTTCTTTAAGCTTCTGCTGCTGCTGTCATTACGATGACTGAAGTTTGTCCTGGCTGACACGGCTATTTTTAGAAGGCTGGCAAGTGACTCGAGCTGCTTTGGGGTGAGGCTGTGAGCCAGTAGGCTACAATGATGAAGAGGAACAACTAGATTCCTCACAAGCACAGTCACATACTTCTAAAAACGCTGAGTCATGGTGTCATCATGTCTGTAAGTCAGCGCAGCATGATGCTTCCCGATGCCAGCAATACAGCAGCGTCACTGTTTGAAGGTGTTTGACTCGGAGATTCCTCGAATGAAATTTAAAAAATTCAAAATAGTAAGGAGGTTGTCTAAAGGATGAATAAAATGACCTCACTAAAGAAGAACAGTGAGTAGTTAATGATTTATTCCTCTTTTGTCTCTCCCRTTTTTTATATTTGACCTATCTTATCTTTGCGTACTCTTCTAATATTTGTGTACGRATCTAGTTTCCAAAGCACTAAAAGATAGCTTAATCCTTCCAAAACTTTAACCGTCTTTCAAATCCCAATCTGATCCCAGATTTTTTTATAAAGTTTATTCATTTCTTTAAAGAAACAAAAAACATAAATTCTATATTCAATATAAATAAATGCAAATCACAAATAAAATGAAAGGCAGCAGAAAGAAAAAAAATCTTACAT